ATGATCATATTTTATCTAAGATTTTTTCATGATTTAAATGTTATTAATCTTATGTGAATTGAAAATATGTTATGCATGGACAGGGAAGACAGATCCATATGTTGTTTTAAGTCTCGGTGATCAAGTAATTCAAAGTAAGAAAAATAGCCAGACAACAGTAATTGGGCCTCCCGGTGAGCCAATTTGGAATCAGGTGAGTCATGGTTATCCTTCTCACTGACTTTTTGCATTAATGGAACATAATGTGCTGTCATTATGAATACAAGTGATGGATATATTGCCATGTCAACAGGATTTTCATCTTCTTGTTGCAAATCCTAGAAAGCAAAAATTGTATATCCAAGTAAAGGACTCTTTTGGTTTCACAGATATCACTATTGGCACAGGGGAGGTAAAGTCCTTAATAACTTATCTGTATGATGCATAGCAAATTGTCCATATTTCAACAAGGATAAGATTATATTCTAATTATCTAGGCATGCTTTTTATACTGAGTATTTCTTAAGATTTTGGTAGGCTATTTGTATTTTAACTATTTAATGTTAGTTTCTGTCGATTAGCAAGAAATACATCATGAGTCATGTTATGCTTATTGTAGGCATATATTTTATTCAAGCGAGCATGCTTAGTCTACTGGTATTTTAGAGTCATCTGAATTTAGATTTTTTGTAACTTTTTTTCAAGTTCCTGTAGTTAATTGTTGTTCTCTTAGTATACTTATCTATTTTGTCTAACAACTGTGATGTTCATTGACAACTAGATTGAGCTTAGTTCGCTACAAGATACAGTACCAACGGACAAAATTGTAGCTTTGCGAGGTGGTTGGAATTTGCTCAGGAAGCAATTATCCGGGGAATTGTTGCTCCGTCTCACGTATAAAGCTTATGTTGAGGATGAAGAAGATGCGATAGAAAAGGAGCTTGTGGATACTGATGCATCAGATGATGAGAGCTCAGAGTATGAACAGGCAGATGAATTATATGAACAGAGTTTTAGTGGTTATCCTAGTGGAGGAGAAACAGAGTCCTTTATGGATGTCCTAGCAGCCTTGCTCGTCAGCGAGGAATTTCGAGGTATAGTGTCTTCAGAAACAGCAACTTCCAAAGTTTCTGGGCAGTCTGCTTATCCAGAATCTCCGGTATCAAGAACACGTGGTCGTGCTGCGGAGATTTCAGCTCTTGACGCTGATAGTGCTTCAGGTGGCTTCAAAGGTACTCCTTCCTCTCCAAATTCTAGTTTGTGAACTTCAAACTATCATTATTCCAACTAGAAATTCTTTTTGTGCAGAGTCAACACTAGTATGGCTAGCTGCGGTAACGAGTATTGCAGTGCTGATTGCTATTAATGTGGGGGGTTCAAATTTTTTCAATCCTTAGCATCATTGAGGTACCTGTGGCAAGTAATTTTTAATAATTCTATGCAATATTCTTCCACTGTTTTATATCTGCTGTATCACTGCATTCCTTTACATGCATCGGTAGAGCGAGTATAAAAGCTGTTTCTGTCAAATAGTATTCTTGTACACTAAATGCACTTTAGTTAATTGTTATGATGACCATTATTCACCGTTCTTTAAGTTGAATGACTTAACAGTCTTCTACTTGCAGGCTTCAATATACATCTCCATTGGAAGACGGAGTGAAAACTGAACTATACACATTTTGATTGATTTTTTTTTTTCCTTTTTATAATGTAAATTCTTACTAGAGAAGTGCTTCCACGGCCATTTACCTTAAAATTCTTTTGCTCTTGATGCTGATGATGCTCTCTTATTGTGTGCACCTACACTTTCACCCCATTATACTTGTATATTGACAATCTTCTAACTGGCAAAATTCAAGAGCTTGACTAGATTGTTCTTTATGTTCTTGATGTAATCGCTTTGTAAGTTTCTGAGCTTTCTGCCTTATCTGCTTCTTGTTTGGCATGCAAGAAAAGTTATCCTTCGTGCTTTGAATAGTGTCTTAAAGAATCGTTCTTCCATTCGAGGATCATACATGGTGGTCAACAAAGGAGGCGATCACCCCCATCTCTCTTCTTCTTCCTCCTCTCGAGCTCAAGTCATGGGGACCACATCTAACACCGACCGCCTCCACTTCGTTCTCATCCCATGGCTCGCCCCGGGCCACATGCTCCCCATGATCGACATCGCCTGTTTGCTCGCCGAGCATGGCACGACCGTCACCGTCGTCACCACCCCTGCCAACGCGTCTCGCATCGGTCCGACCATCGATCGCGTCGCTGATTCCGGCCTCCCGGTCTGCTTCGTCTCCCTCCGTTTCCCGGCCGTCGAAGCAGGCCTGCCGGAGGGCTGCGAGAGCGTCGACGCCATCCCTTCCAGCGACTTGATGATCGACTTCTTCAATGCTGGCAAACTCCTGAAGCATCCCCTTACAGATCATCTCTGCGGCTGCCGTCCTGCTCCGAGCTGCGTGATCACGGGCACGCACCATGCTTGGGCCGACGATGTCGCTCTCGAGTTCGGAGTTCCCTGCCTCGTCTTCCGAGGCTACAGCTGCTTCTCCCTCCTCAGCGTCGAGAACCTGCACCTGTACAAGACCCACGAGCACGTTCCTTCAGCGACGGAGCCTTTTGTGCTGCCGGGCTTGCCGCATCGTGTGGAGATCAAAAGGTGTCAGCTGCCGAGGCACATCGAGAGAGCACATCGCTTCGCGGAGATGTTCAGGGAGATCAGGGATGCCGAATCGTCGTCGGACGGCATCGTCGTCAACAGTTTCGACGAGTTGGAGGTTGGATATGGTGAGCGTCTGGCAAAGGCGACAGGGAAGAAGGTGTGGAACATCGGGCCGGTTTCGCTGGTCTGCAACCAAGGGAGGCAAGACATTGCCCGAAGGGAAGACAAGGCCTCGGTCGACGAGGCGCAATGCTCGCGTTGGCTCGACTCTTGGTCGCCGGAATCAGTTATCTACGTGAGCTTCGGCAGCATGGGCAGCTTTGCGCCGTCGCAGCTGATGGAGCTGGGCTCGGGCTTGCTCGCCTCGGGCAGGCCTTTTGTATGGGTGATCAAGGTGGGGAGGACATGGACAGAGGAGACGCAGACGTGGATGTCGGAGAGAGTCGAGGGGAACTCCAAGTGCCTGTTGATTAAGGGATGGGCACCGCAGGTGAGGATCCTGTCCCACCCAGCGGTCGGCGGGTTCGTGACGCACTGCGGGTGGAACTCGACGCTCGAAGGGGTCTGCGCCGGAGTTCCAATGATAACGTGGCCCCTTTTCGCGGAGCAGTTCCTTAACGAGAAGCTGATCGTAGAGGTCTTGGCGATCGGAGTCTCTCTCGGCGTCGAGAAGCCGACCGAGTGGGGAAAACTTGTGGAGGAAGATGTAGTGGTGGTGACGAAAGGAGAACTGGCAAAGGCTGTGGAGATATTAATGGATAAAGGAGAACAGGGCGAGGAGAGGCGGAAGAGAGCGAAAGCTCTGAAGGAGAAAGCAATGAGGGCCATGGAGGATGCTGGATCTTCTCACCTGAACATGGAACGGTTGATCCAATACGTAGCAGAGCAACTTGGTGAGCATGCCATGGATTTGTGTTCTTGATGAGTCTTGTCGTAACTCACGATAATGCTTTTGCGCTATTGAAACTGTTTAGTTGATACCATCAAGAATTAATTTGATAAAAAAATCTTATAATTGTCAACTTGTTGAGTTTGAATCATTCGTCAATATTAGTGTTAGTGTAAATAACCTTGAGCCGTGGCCTCGGGGCCGACGCGGCTCGGTTCGGATCCGGATGTCGGGGGATCTCCAAAGGGGGTTCCTCGGGACTGCTGAGGTCGTCGACTCAGTCGTCATTTCCTCCGGGAAGGGGCTCCTCGCCTGGTGCATCCAGAGAGAATCGCCTCATCTTCGTTCCTGCACACAGGTCGGGTCAGG